TCTATGTTATCTTTGAGTGTTTCAGCTTCTAACATCTCAGATTGGACGAATTCATCCTCTTCCTGAGTAAGTAAATACGACTTCCTTTCTCTAATACTGTTCGGATCAGTTTGAACTTTGATCAGTTGGTGTAGTAGGGTCAATGGTTGTATGCTATATGAGGTTGGAAACCTATTTAGAGTCATGATGTTGAATGTAGTCATAGTTTAAACATAATTGTCGATGTAGTGTTGAAAGTTCGGCTGTTGCACTATTTAAAAATTCAGAATGTCTTGTCTCCAACTAAGATTATTATGTATTTCCAAATTGTTTATTGTAAATATTTTATTATCTACATACCCATGAGGTTTTTAGCTAACCTTTAGCTAATCGGACCGTCGCAGCTCATGGCGATTCAATCAAAATCGCAATTAATCGTCATGTCATATAACAGTCTCGATTAGCGCAGCATTTTACTAAAATCGCGACTAAATGCTAACCGACTAAGATTTCATCGTATAAAATCCCGATTACGTTTGAGTCTCGATCGACCGCGATCAGTACTTTTACGAGCTGTACGAAGCTGAAATTCAGATCGAGTTTGATTGTGACTGAGAAATAAATCAGATTTAGTCGCATCTCCTGTTCGCTCGCGTTTCATTGTGTTCGAATTAGAAATCGGAATGCTATCCGTAAAATCTCGATTATTTTTGGATGGCGATACATGCGGTTTCGTTTTAAATGCGATTACTCTAGATTCAGCGAACAGCTACAATTTATCTCAATTGAGAACAGGGTCGCCTACAATCGCGAAGCTTTGTTTATACCGAACAGTCGCAATCAATCGACAAATCCGTTTAAATGACATTTATAATCGTGCGACGTTGGGCGGTATTAAATAAAAATTGCGATCAGTTGCGAACCGAAATTATACTCCGATTAATCGCGATTAGCGAAGTCACGTCTAATTGTGACTAGTTAAATTCCTTAGATAATCAGAAATATTTTGTTCTTATCCATTCGACCTACATCCATGGGACCTCCATTCCTCGAATGAGGTCAGGAGACCCTTTCCCGGCGATCTGATTAGATCGAACAAGTACTCCGCGCCGAGACTCGAATCTCAGGCACGCAGTTCTTCTCCTTACGGCTGCCCTTGATCTACTGCTTGTAGACCGGCTACGTCACTTCTCAGAGTCATTTAACACTCTAAGAAAAGTGGATAAGTGAAGTTATAATTTAAATGAAGTTATTTGCTTTACGCACGCTGTAGAGGGTGAGTATATGTAGCAAATTCTTTGCAACATTTATGTAGTAAAAATGAGTCATTGATTAGTCGATAACCAATCGATGATTAATCGATCAATCGGCTGAGTTTTTTAAACAACTATGAAAGGAACTTTTATGCATATTAGTAGTTGTCGAGCTGCTCTATCTTCTACGACCTAAAAAGGCTGATTTGAATGCCATCTTTATAGCGAAAAACGGATCGCAATGGATACGTTTTGCCAGATCGGTTCGAAAAAGCGGAATTTATGCAAAAGAAGAATACAGGGCGCGCCATCACAGTTGTTTGCATAAATTCCGCTTTTTCGAACCGATCCAGCAAAACGCTCCACTCGCGGTCCTTTTTTCTCTAAAAAGATGGCATTCAAATCAGCCTTTATAGGTCGTAGAAGAAAGAGCAGCGCGACAACTACTAGTATAAATCAAAATTCCTTTTATAGTTGTTTTAATAAAGCACTAGAAGTCCGGCAGACTTACGTGCATAACCCATCATCCAATAGTCAGTGGTCAAAGAAACGAGTTTCTTGGTGGATCGGAACAGAGAATGCAATGTTTCCAAGTGTAAGGTATTGTAGAGGATTCAGGTGATAGAATCCTGTAAGAAGTACCACATTATCCTAACAGAAATCACATGAGTTCCTATGATAAGATTATGTAGGATTTCATAGGATCCTAAAACGATTTCCTGTGTTTCGTAGGATCCCATATGATGCAGGTTTACTCATTCAGTGTACATACAGTCAGACGCTTTAACTGGTGTGAAATCGCGACTGAAAAGCAGTTGCGATCAATCGATAATCTAGACTACGACTTCAATCGCGTTTTTGTACGCTAACATCGCGACTTCACCTTTATTCACGATGGCTCGATAACAAAATCTTTCTTCGATTAATTGTGTTTGGAAGAAGAGTCATAACTGCACACTAGAAGAACGCGACTCATTTTTAGCCGCGATTGATGGATAAAGTTTCATATCATCAGTCAGTCGCAATTACTAAAGTACTTGCCATTTACTATTACAAAATCCAGAGCTGTTATACCTAACAGCTTTTTTGTATATGAATTAGAACAACCCATGAGATTTTCTTTTTAGGACCGGCTAATCGGTCTGTTACTGCTCATGGCGATTGGAGAGAAAACTGCGATTTCATTGTGCATAATGGTGATTCAATCGATCGTGATTTTTCCAGAAGTTTTTGTTTTGAGAACAAAAACCGAGAGCAGACTAGTAGAACGTCGGTCACACTAAATAACACAATGATCCCTTAGAGAAAAGAAAAAACCAACTAACAGTTTAGACATATGAATTAGACATATAGAGTCGTATGCCGCAATTAGAACACGAAAAATTTCAAGTTGACTCGTTTCTAATTTCTGAAGTCATTTCTAAAGGTGGAAAAAGTATTTTTAGTTTACCAAGTAGAGGAGAGTCAGGGCTATCGATCTATGTAAAAATAACTAAGATTGGTTTGCTCATTTCTTATTAATCAAGACAAGAATGAAGGCTACTATGAATTTCTTTTCTTTCCTATCTATTCCAAATTAGAACACGCCGTGCATTTTCTATTCCCAAATAGAACACGTCCATACAAATACATGGAGATTTTCAATCAAGTTGAAGAAAAAAGGTTTTTTTGCTTATAAAGTTCAATGAAACCTTCGAAATTTTATATAGAAATACTCAGAAGAGTCTGCCGAATCGAACCATATAACTTTTTCCGGAAAAAGTGATCTTTTTTCACTTTTTCGTGCACTTATTGTGGAATTATTGCGAGTATATTCGTGTTCTAATTTTTTCCCGTGAAGATTCCACTAATTTTTCATCACCACAGATTACTCAAGATGTATTTTGCTGTGTGGACCTAGCTGGATGCTTCTGATCATTTGAAACTTGCAAAACCTGTTGTTTCTAGTCAGAAACCTGAGATTTTCAAAAAATTCCTGGATTAACTTAGCTTCATCAGAAGGGTATCTCGAATCTCTTGGTTAGCCTACAAATAACTGAAAATGGCAAAATTCGATACTTATGTCTTTAAAACAAGATTTACTTTGAATAACTGCCTTGAAGAAATCAGCGGAATAACAGAGAAGCCAAAATTAGAGAAAAACTTCGTCTCTGAGACTTCAGTTTTTCACTACTGATAGTCCTGACTTTTCTGAACATATTTTGTTACAAACATTTGCCTTGATTTTGACGAAAAATCAGAAACTGAAAAGTTATTCCTTTCGCTCTTCATTCTTCCACAAATAAGGGTTACAATTTTGTTTTCTTATCTGTATCAAACTCTTTTTTTTACTTCTGCGAATTACATATTACGTCGGATAGTCTCTAACTCTTTTCTCTCACAAAAGAAAATGTTTTTTATTGCTTTATATGTTCTGTTTTTAGAATATTGTGTAGCGCAGTTTGGTCCGATAAAGAAAAGTGTATGGAACAGAGCAATGACAAATGTTGGTGCAAAAAGCCGCCAGTTAGTTAGAGTAGAAATACAGAAAACACTTGCTAAAAAAGCAGCAGCGTTATTGGAAAAAACAGAACAGCAAGAAAACAACGATGAATGGCAAACCAACGATCAAAATCACAAAACGGCAAAAATATCACTGGCTGATGAAGCAGCAGCTGATCATCGTTATCAACAACAACAAAAAGACTATAACAACACTCAACCAGAGACGCCAATGAATAAAGAAAACGAAAATTCATTAATATTGCCGTCACCATCAGTATTGCACTCAACGCCAAAAGCTCTCTGTCGTGCAACAGCACCATTAATTCCAAAACAATTATCACCAGTTGCGGATATACAAACGATATTCTCTCCAAAACCGCCGCTCAAATCCTCATCACACCTATCGACAACAACCGATTATGTTCGATCGTATGTTAAATTAGCTGGAAAAAATGCAAATGTATTTAGTTCATCGGAAATTGATGAAAATGAAGAGCACTGTTTATCTGGATTACCAAAACGTGCGTCGGAATCACCTTCACCTGCCGCTACGATAAGGAAGAAACAAAAAACGATGAAACAGAAAAAGATGAATTATGAAACCGATGACGAAAAAAATTTATTTGATGCTATAGATGAACTTTTATTTGATGAAAGCGAATAATAAACAGTTTATTTTTTCGTCTATACAACGTTAGCTCATGTCTATCTTACTTAGCAATGATTATTTTGTAAAATATTTTTTTGGCTGTAGTATATTTTTCTGCTGATAGAAATATATAATGTTACTGTTATTTTGTTGTTTATTGTTGTTGTTCTCACACAGCCCTTTGGCTCTTCAATTTTCTAAACGTCATTTCCTTGCCTTGTTTTTGTTGTAATTTATTAGAAAAATTGTTTGTTCTCAGTAGAGGAGAAATATATTACAAGTTTTTACTCAGTGAGTGGAGGAACAACTCTCAACAGAGAGAATTAGTTTTCTGAGCAGTAGGCTGAAGCGAGAGCTTTCTAGCACGTTCTGCCTTTCTTAGCACCATTTATTGATATTCATAGCCTCAATGTAAAGTAGAATCCTCGTACAGTTTTCAAGTCAGCATACATCGGCATGCCTACCGATTTTCATAGTTTCGGCATACATCGACATGCCTGCCGAGTTTCATATTTTCAGCATACATGTCGCAGCCCTAAGGCAGGTCTGCCTCGATGTTCCCTGCAGACCTGCGCATACCGCCTGCAATAATTTTCATCCTTGCATGCCGCAGGCACTCTTTTTTTGTAGGGTATGTCTTTAAAACAAGATTTACTTGGAATAACCGCCTTGAAGAAATTAGCGGAATAACAGAGAAGCCAAAATTAGAGAAAAACTTCGTCTCTGAGACTTCAGTTTTTCACTACTGATAGTCCTGACTTTTCTGAACATATTTTGTTACAAACATTTGCCTTGATTTTGATAAAAAATACAGACAAAAGGAAATAATGAGTTTCGTCCTTGTTGTGCGTAATACGTACAAAAACGGCGAGAAGAACAGTGAACTACTATGTAACTGGTTATAAAATTACTACGTTATACCTATGCTTATAAGCATACGTATAACGTAGTAATTGATACCCCTGCCTTATTCAGCTCGATGCCGTTTCTACGACAGACGAAGAGAAAAACGTGAAAACTTACAACGACAAATTGAATCACAATCATTCGTCTTTATATAAACTCAACCTATAGATCGGCTAATCAGCCATTTTGTCCAGTTTTCATCCTTCTTCACAAGACGACACTGTTTTTCGAACAACTGGTATCA